CTACCGCTTGAGCCACATCCCCAGCCCCATTTTCCTGCCTCCTTTTAACCTGGTTTCTTCTTTCTTCACTCAGTGTCCTAGGAAACATCAGATGAATTTTTTTTTTCTTTTTTCTGTTTATTTTTCTTCTTCCGCCCAAAAGAATCTGAGTCCCTCTCGTCGGCCCATTTCTTGTTTTCTTTCTATTTCTGACTTAGATGAAGCAGGCACTTCAAAGAACCCCCGAGGCCACTGACCTTTCCCGGGAGTTCCAGCTTCTCTTCTCTGGGGCAGMAGGCCTGTCCCCCACCCGGGTTACCAGTGGGGACCTGCGGGTGCCTTGGACCAGGACTTTCACAGACTGATGTGCCCAGACCACTGTGGGGCTTGTCCAGGCTGGGCGGGGTGCAGCTCAGGGGCAGAACYCCTCCTTGGTACCTGCAAGGACCTGGGTTCCATCCCAGCACCACAAAAAAAAAAAAAAAAGGAAAATAGAGCCGGATTCTGTGCCTGGGACCCGAGCACCTGCCCTAGCAGCTCCCAGGGGACACAGTGCCACTGGCTCCTGGGTGGGGGCCGTGTCCCCATCTCAGCCAAGACTCCTCGGTCCCATTGGCAGAACTGAGTGTATCACGAGAAGCCGAGGGGTCTTCCCCTGGACAGGGAGGCCAACAGCCACCTCTAATCCACTTCTGGAACAGAAGTGCTGACGTGGGAATGTCAGCACACGTAAACCAGATACCCGTGGGACCTGCCGGGGTCTGAGGCTTCTCCCTGCCACAAACAGCAGCAGAGATGGCGCTTAGAGTCCAGCCCTTCTACCTACTAGCTGATGGTCCTGGGAAGGTCACTCCACCTCTCTGAGACTTAGTTTCTGTACAAAATGAGGGTCAAACCTACCACCCAGTGTCATTAAGAGAAAATGAGAAAACACAGGAAGAGTGTGCACATCTGAGCCGTATCCATGCAATAAGTGGAGCTGTTCATTTACTCAGCAAATTTAATGAGCACTTACTAGTTCTCCAGTCTGTTCTACACACCAGGCATAAAGGGGAAAGACTGATACGGGGGTCAAAAGATGTCCACGTCCTAACCCCAGAACTTGTGGGTACACGATTTCACGTGGCAAAGCGGGTTGAGCACATGGGGTTAAAGTCAAGGCCTTGTGGCCACCCTGTATTATCCAGTGGGTCCTGTCTAATTCACACAGAGACACAAACAGATGTGCTTTCCTGAGTGTGGCCCGAGAGATCCCAGGGCTTTGAAGACAGGAGGCTCCGCGAGTGAAGAAATGCAGGCGCCTGTGCCTCTGGCTGCTGAAGASGCAGGAACACCGGCCCTCCCTGCAGCTTCCAGAGGGATCAACCCTGCGGAATCCCTGGTTGTGGTCCAGACACGCCCGAGCCAGTCGTCCAACAGGATGATATACAGGTGATTCTGCGTTGTTCAAGTCACCGTGTCAGGGCTAGGGTGCCGGAGCGCCCAACGCAGGGGCCTTGTGTTTCTGACAAGTCCTTGTGGGCTCCTCAGCTGAACTTGGGACCAGAGGAGAGGGCTCTTGGATGGGCAGGCGAGAAGCCCCCAGGCTCCCAGATCTCAGTGCTCAGCTGGAGAGGTGCAGTAACAGAGGGAAGGGAACAGGGGAGGAAGGGAGGGGAGCACGGGGACTGGGAGCCACCCAGGCAGTCCTCCCTGAAGGTGGAGCTCACAGCCTCGATAGCGAGCAAGGGCAGGCGGGGACACTCCAAAACAGTGTGATAGAGCTCTTGGTGGGGCCGGAGCAGCGGATGCTCCCGCAGGACGGGCCAGCTCATGTCAGAAATAGGTTCAAGGCCCCCCCCAGGACACAGGAACCTGGCCCTCGGTTGTCAGGTGCCATAGGAAGACCCGCAGGCCTCCCGCCGGGCACCATGGGACTACTGCAGGCTGCGGGCTAGCAGCAGAGGTCTGCTCAGGGGCTGGAGGCAAGAGGACGGAACGCAAGGTGTTGGTGCCTCTCCTGGTTTGCGGAGGGCCACCTTCTCCCTATGGTGTCTGTGTCCTGACTCCTCCTCTTGTGGGACCCCAGCCTTGACTGGGCAGTAGCATTCTGAGGCTCTGGGGCGGGGACTTGCATGCATGAATTTGGGGAGGAGGGGACACAACTGAGCCCATAACTGTGTGTGCACGTGCAGGTGTGCATGTGTGGCTGGGGATCAAGCCCAGGGCCCTGTGCATACCCTGCGTGCGGGGCAGGAGACCACCACTGACTGGCACCCAGCGCACCTTTCCCTTCTCCCTCCCAGGGAATGGCTCCACCTCACCAGCTGGTAAAGGCCAGGCCTCGGGGTCCTCTCTGCCTCCTTCACCCACCCCTGACCCTGACCCCATCCATGCCATCTTCAGTACACAKCTGGATCCGACCCTCACCACCCCACGGTGACCTGCCACTCCTCCCCCTTTTCTACAGCCAGCCCGTCCATCCAGCCCTGGCCTCCACCCACTGACGCTGTCTACACAGCAGCGGGGATCGTTTTAGCACCCAAGTCTCTCCACTGCTCAGAKCCCCCAGATAGCCTCCTCTGTCCCACTGAGTCACTATCCTCATCTCACCCGCCTATCAAGTCCCCAGCGGCCTGGCTCCGGGGACGGAATTGGGTCCCCCACCACCTAGTTCCTATGTCAAAGCCCCAGGCCCGACATGACTGCAGTGGGGGACAGGGCCCTGAAGGGGGCAGTTCAGGTTCGATGAGGTCACAAGGTGCAACTCTGATCCAACTGGACCAGTGTCCTTCCAAGAGAGTGACCCTGGGCTCATTAGCACTGTGTGTGCACACTGTGCTCTGTGCACACGTAGGCGTGTGTCTATACAGCATCAATCAAGAAACAATAAATGAACAGAAGGAAGACATAGACTAGAGGGGGAGGGGCGGGGGAGGGGCGGGGGAGGGAAGAGAGGAGGGAAGAGGGAAGGAAGGAGGAAGCCCGGGGACTGAACAAGATCATTCTCCATGACTGCGCGATTATGTCAATGTGAACGTCTGTGTAAAATGCACAGTAAGAACATTTTTTACTCTAGACATAAAGAAAGAAAGAAAACTCTAGAATGATAGAGCTGGAAGGTCTTCAGGATTCTACCCAGTCAGCAAGAAGCGTGCCCTCCACCTCTCTCCCATAGCCCGCCCTTCAGACATCACTAATAGATCGCAGAACTTCCTCCCACCAAACTTCTGAGTCCTCCTTAACATTGTGCTCCGGCCACTCCAATGAAATGACTTGTCATCCCCAAATCTAGCCCAGCCAATCGCAGGTTGGACTGAGAGTCTGAAGCTCAGAAAGGAGCGTTTCTTTATCCCCAGAGGCTGAGCCAGCCAGAGGCCCAGCCAGGCCACAGGAAGACACTTGGCCTATGTTCTCATGGCCAGATACTAAACGACAAGGGAGTTTGCGGATTCTCTTTAACATGAAATCACACGGAGAGTCGTCCTTAGTAAGTGATCTTTACCTCTGACGACATCAGAAGATTTTGGTCACTTCAGGCAAAAGTGAACTCCTGCTGAAGCTGGCCGCAGGGGTCAGACCAGCTCCAGCTGCCAGCAAGACACCAGATGGGACCAGGCACAGTCGAGGGGCCACGATGTCCCTGCCCTGCAAGGTGGAGGAGACCAAGAGAGCTCCACAAAACAGAAGAGGGCTGTGCGCTGAAGCCCCAGAGCCCGCTGTCTATTCCTGGCTCCAGCCGGGCACCCAGGAAACCACCTGTGACCCCGCTCAACCCACCCGGCTCTACGTGGGCGACTGACTGTCCTCCTGACTGGTGGAGCTGGAGGGAGGTCCCATCCCCGACAACACTGACGTGGATGGGCCAGGTAGGCCCAAGAGGAACCTGGGCTTGCAGGGCAGTGCAGCCACGGGCCCACCTGCGAGGCCATGCATGTCACTGCAGACTTCACAGGCCGTGAGGTCTGGGACGGGCTGAGGCACTTCGCCTGCTTCTCACAGGCCAGGAAGAGCCCAGCTGACCGGAGCTCCTCCACAGGTCTCCCAGATGGCCCCTGTCATGTTGCTCTACACACCCCCCACCTCACCCCCTGGCTGCAGAGTAGATAACATGGTCAGCAGAGCAGTAGTGCCGAGGGCGCAACATGCTCGTACCAAGCACCATCCTCTGTGCTGGAGAGGCCAGCCTCACCCTCAGGCCCGCCCCAGAGGGAAGACCTATCATCTCCATCTCACAGAAACCACAGCCAGAGGGGCTCCATTATGAGCCCCAATTCTATGCTCATGACAACCTTGCTGTCGGCAGGAGGAAGGGAGGTGGGGGGAGATGGGTGCCCTACTCCCCCTGAAGACGAAGCTGTTCAGATGACCACCTTGGCTACAAGGCTGGGTGGTGGGCTGAGTCTCCCAGGCCTGCTATGAACGGCTCTCCCAGCCCTTCTGCTGTGATTGACGTCACATTCCAGGCTTGCCGTGACAGGACTGCGCCAGCATAGCCGATGCCCGGCTGTTCACCTCCACCAGGCACCCCCCTGCCTCCCACAGGCTGGGTTAAGAGCCTCACCCATGGCTCCCGCAGGTCCTCAGGATTTCTCCTAGTTTAGCTCTCAGGTATCTTGTTATAAGATCTTCCCAGGCCCCAGCAGGCATACAGACATGAGGTTCTTGGCCCACACTCTGTTTTAGAAAAAAAGAGAAGGAAACAGAAAAGAATACACAACCTTCCAAATATATGGCTTCTCCTTGAAACCCACTGGGCACAGCAATACTGGACAATTACCAGGGCATCGTGACCGTCAGTGGAGCCTGCATTGCCCCCAGTGCCTGGACCGTGCACACGTCACTCCCTCCCACAGTCTCCACCACTCCCTAGTGCCTCACACCTGCCCGCCTGGCCCCTGCAGGCAGTAGCAACATGGGCATCGGCAATGAACAGTGGGCTCCTTCAAGGTCAGGTGAGCTTGCTCCGGGTGGACCTTACCCGGGACACACAGTAGGGGCTGGAAAGCGCTTGCTGAACTCCTCAGAGTTAAACGGCTTTGCTGCACGATTTACAACACACCCACACCCTTCCCTGCCTCACCCCAGAGAAATCTATATTTAATTGCATTTGCAAAGCCGGAGCCTCCAAGCAACTTCACACAGGAGATCTTTTCTAAATGTCAGCAACGCTGCGCTTGGCCCTGCATGCACGGGCTATTAATAGCCCGCAGCCTCTGGTGGTTTCCTGGGCAGCTGCGCCTACCCTGCGGCAGAGAGGCACTCCAAGTGAGACCCCCGCCCCTCCCGGCGGTCCCCTCGTCCTTCCTCACTTCCCCTTCTCCGTCCAGCTCGCCTGCCGTCTCCTCTGTTGGAGGGCTATTTATTTATTTATTTATTTTGCTAGCACTAATCAGAGTGGTGGGGAGGGAAACAAGAGCCCTCGCCCGCCCGCCCGCCCGCCCGTGGGAAAGTGCTTTGCCAGGGTCCCCAGGGAGAATTCCATGTGTTCTGCAGCTCCAGAGGTCACGGTCACCTTGGTCTGGAGGTGGCCTATTTACCAGTGCAATGAAGACATCAGTCAGATGTCAGGGAGGCGCGATGGCCAGCGGCGGGCAGAGCGCCCGTGGTGCAGGACGGCCGGGCTGGCCAACACTTCCTTCCCCGTCCTGCAGCACAAAGGCCCCTGATGACTTAGCAACTTGGAGAAGAGGTCACTAGACAAATGCCCTTCTCCGACTGAGTGCTCCTCTTGGCCTGTTTTGGTGGCCTCAAAGCTGCCTCTCTCCATCTCCCTTGTCCCTGCCCACATCTACTCAAGTGGAGGAAGGTGAAGCGCCCGTGGGAAGCCCTGCCATCCAGTCTTTCCCTATCTCTAACGGGAAAGAAATCCTGTCCCTTGTGTCCCAAGGCCTGAAAGCACCATGCAGTTAGCATCACTATCCTCCAGCCACAGATGGGAAAAGCACGGAGCTTCCCATAGGCGCGTCACCTAGGAGGATAAAAGGACAGGAAACAGTCTCCTCCCTGCCTGTCCCCGTGTGACRGACAGGCAGCCTCCAGGCTGGGTCTCTTTACAGGCCTTGGAGCAGGAACCTAGCAGGTAGGCCAGGTTGCACCTGCCTGCAGCATCCGCCTCCCAGGAGCGGGCCCTTTTCTTTCTGCATCCCTTCCATTGCTCCCCAGAGGGGTCAGACTGGGCAGGTGAGCAGCTGCACAGCCAGCCTGGGGCCCAGSTCCACCAGTCCTGGTGGAGTCTCCTGTACGTGAGAGTCCCGTACATGTCACCTCCTTGCAGTCCCCTTCTGCTACCTGCCATTTCAGCGGCCTCCCTCTTGGGGCCCTTTCATGAAAAGCTAGAAGTTACTTTGTCTTCATTCATCCTGCCGGTTTTAAAATAAACTCTCCCGCTCCTGAAGCCGCCAGCCTGCTCCAGCCTCCTGTGGGCTTCTCCTCCCACCTCCGCCTTCTTCTCCCACGAGGAATTTGTCCAGGTGCAGGAGCCCCGCTCTGCTGGTCAGCTCTGGAATCTGTTTACGTCATTCCAGAGCAAAAAGGGCAAAAAAAAAAAAATGATTATGTCTACCCTTTGTCTGATTGCATTCAAGTGGTCACCAACTCATTATGGCCWTGGAGGACAGGACAGTTCGGATGTCGGGTTTGCTTTTCCTGCCGCAATGGTGGGGATAGAGGAGAAAACCTGGGAGCAGAGCTTTGGCGGAGCCAGTCTCCTTTTATCCCTGCAGGTCACTGGCTTGGTGTGCATCTGACTTTCTGGCACCAGGAGGATCATGCCACGTCTGGGTGCAGAGTTCAGGGCGACAGTGGTCTGGGATGTGAGCATGACAGGAGATGAATCCCTGGGTCTGCTTTTCCTTTCCCCACTTCATGGGGGACATTGGAGAGACCATGAGCCTGGCGTGGACAGTGGAGAAAACCAGGCCCTTAGCAGGAAGAACAGTCAGGCCGGGCTGGATGGCCCCACTGCAGGAAGGGAGGGGTGTGCGCGCGGTGCTCTGAAGGTGGGCACTCCTGTCCCCACCTGCTGGTGTCAAAGGGTCCCTGCTTGGCGAGTACAAAGTGAAAAGGGCGGAGAGGGCACATGACTCACAGCAAGCCGGAGATGCTGGCAGCACCCAGAGCAGGCCTCTGCCAGCAGGCGCAGAAGGGGCTCCCTGGAAGCTGGGGGTGCTCACGCCACCGCCTCAGAGGAGGTTCCTGAGCATGCTCAGCTCGAGGTGAGGGTCTCTCTACCTCTCAGGTTCCAACCCGGCAGCTGGGGACACCCTGTGGAAATTGAGCGCCATGAGCAAAGTTTACTCTAGGCCGCCTAAAAGCGGGTGTCAGAAGGACTTCCTGATTTGGGCTGGTTCCCTGAGGGTCTCTGGGGAGGCCTTCCTGGCAACAGCAACACTGGCCCCACTCCCCACTCCTTCTTGGGTGGAAGTCTTGCTGCCCTCCACCTGGCAGCTGAGTTACTTCCCATTGGTGCCACTCTCTTTTCTTTCCTTTTTTGCATTGGTGAATGAAGTCAGGAATGGCAACGAATGGAAGATTGTGTGGCAGGTGACATCACACGCAGCAAAACGGGCACGACCCCTCCCCCCTCTTCAAATGGTGTCCAGCTGCCCCTTGTTCCTGTCAGGAGGACCAGGTTCCAGGACATAGTCCCAARTGTCCCTTCTGTAAAATGGCACAGGATCTGCATATGACCCGTGGCATTCTCCCATGTACATCAAGTCACCTGTAGATGACTTAGGGTGTCAATCCCATGTGGGTGGCATGGGAACAGTCGCCATCCTGTACTGTGAGGGGAGATGATAAGGAAAAGTCCCCCTGTCAGAGCACTCACGACTCTTTCTCAGCATTTTCAGTCTGCGACTGGTTGAATCCACAGATGTGATCTCCAATTTGGGACACCATGGAATACACAGGCCAAGTCTGTGGCGGATTAGATCACCTGCGATGGCTTCAGCAGGTGGCTGGGCACAGACCTACTGTGGACTCCAGATGTGGCTGAGCAGCTGCACATCCCAACCAGGTGCCCTGGTGACTGCGGCAGATGGCTGTACACACTGCTCTAAGTACTGCAGGGGCCAGTGCTCGTGGAATCACACACACACACACACACACACACACACACACACACACACACACACACACGTGGCTGATGCCTTGGGGACCTGGTCAGCAAACCATAGTGCAGAGAGCCTCATCCAGCTGGCTCCCTGCGTCCAGAGTAAGCAGGCCCCAAGCAACATTTTCTCAAAGAAGAGGGTTCATTGGGCAGCAGTGCCCTCTGCCCTTGGAGATGAGATGGTTTCATGCCCCGCCAGGAGTCCTGCATAGCCTTCGGATGGACAGCCCTGCTTCCTGCCTATGCCTCCTCACCACCATCCTCTGTCCTGAGAGCAGAGTGATCTCTTAAAACACAAACCAGGTCCTCTGTCTCGGCCCACCCCCCAAAAAAACTACTGCAGAAAGCTTGGCGTGCTCACCGCACCCCTCCCCACCATGGGCTCTGCCTCTCCAGCTTTACCTCCCCCAGCCCCCCTGCTGCGGCCACCCTGGCTTCCTGGCTATTCCAAAGCCAGGCATGCTGGCCGTAGCCCGGGACTCTGTGTTTGCTAGCCTTCCCCTGCCCTTCCCAAAGGTCTTCTAGTCAGGTCTCACCTACAATGTCACCTCCTCTGAGAAGCCCTCCAGCCTCTCCTTCGCATCACTGAGCCTGCTAGTCACCACAGTGCCGTTCCTTCCAATGTCCTTTCCTCCCTTTAGTCCTGTCCTTTCCAGCCCCTCTGTCCAGGTTCATTTGGACCTGATCTACCAGGCCTGGATGCATCTCCAGGCAGCCCCCAGTGGGGGTTCCAGCCACAGCACCAGCTGGCTCCCTAAACCAGGTTGGCATTTTGTTCTCAGCAGCTTTGGAAGTCACATGTCTGGCCCAAGCCCTGTGACTCAGGCTGGTCAGGAACACAGGGTCCTCATTCTTCAGGGAGATAGCGGCATGCCCAGGCCTGGAGCCACGGGCAGGGGCTGAGCACCATGTCTGAGCCCCCAGCCTGCTTATTGTCCAGGCCCAGGCCAGACACTTCCAGCCTTTAGAAAGGCAGCCTGGCCTGGCTCTGGAGTCCCACGTGGCCGGCGCTCCAGGGGTGAAACTTAGGTTTCCCTTTTCTGAACAAAGACAAGCGCTCCCCTGGCCACCCTGGGAGAGGCTGCCATGGGGCCCCACTTCCGTCGCCTGCAGGCTCCCTGCCGACTTCAGCAGTGTCTGCCAAAGGGCACCTGAGTCCCGGCTTGAGATCTGATGGCCTACCCAGGCCGTGAAACTCGTCCCCAAGCAGAGCAAGGAAATTGAAAGGAAAAACACCCCCGTGGGGGCCAGTGCCCACCGAAGCAGGCCAGCCCACCTCACCTCTGCCGCTCCGCCTTGGGGGAGGCCAATTTTTTAACAACCAGTCCTAGAAGCTCCTGTTTAAAAGACAAAGGCCCACAGATGCATTTCTGTCTATCAGTAACGAGAACATGGAACTCATTCCCCAAACCCTAATGGTCTCCGGAGTAAGCGAGCCAGTCACTGGAACCGAGGAATGGACCAGGACAGCCCCCCGCCCTCGCCCGAGAGTCCTGTGGGGTCATGTTTTTTAATTGGATTCATTTCTAAGCATCGTGCTTGTCACATGCCTCAGTCTCTTCTCTGTCCCCCAACCAAAAGCTTCCTCTCCTCCTCTCCCTCAACTCGGCTCCTCGGTGGGGAAGGGAGCTGCCTTCTCTTGCCAACAGATTTCTCATCATGTGACTGACTTGCTGCAGGCGGGTGAACTTGCATTTCTCTTGCGTAAGAGAACGGTTTCTCTGCAGAAGAGTGAGGGGGTAGGCAAGCTGCCTCGTTTTCCATATTAATATCTTCAGCCTCCGCCCCTTCAGATGACGGACGGAAAGCACCTCTACTCCATGGAGCGCAGACCCTCATGCACTTCACAGGCAGGGGCCCATTTGGGACTTGCTGAGAGGCCGCAGAGTTTTCCTGGGTTTGTTTTATGTGGTGAGACTCACAAGGAGGAACAAATTCTTTGATGATTTTAAAAGTTCACCAGGCAAAACGGCACCTTCCCTTAACATCTAAGAGTTGAAAAGGTCTATA